TAATTGAGATTTATTTAAGATATTAGGATTATCTATTAGGGATATTCAAGTAAGGATATTTATCTATTATAATTAGGATTTATTATTTATTTTATTATCTTAGATATTAGTAACTTTAAGATTATATTTAGAATTATGATTTATATCTATATTTATTATTATTATTATTATTATTATTATTATTATTATTATTATTCTATCATTTTAAAACTCTATAAGTAGAGTTAGGGTCTTCATTTGTATTCAATTGTTGAATATTATTGAATAGAGTTTCTAAAAGTTTTAGTATTCTCCCTCCTCTTTTCTCTTTGCCCTTCCTTTCTCTCTTTCCTTCTCCCCTTCTTATTTTACATCAGGGTGTCTAGGTAAAATGTTGCCATTTATTTTTGATGAAACGATTGAATTTTGTCTTGTATTTTTTCTGATATAGTATTGTATGGGAGAAAAACAAATGTTATTCGAAGTTATCCAAAACACGCTACCTGAAGATGTTGCCCCCAAAATTTTTCCGATGCTTTTGGTATGATTTTATATCTACCATAGCATACATGAATTCCAATTATTGGTCCTTTTTTGATTCCTTGGGTTTGTGTGAGAAGGTACAAGATTTGTGCACCTTGGGTTGTTACTCTAGGTTTTGGAGGGAACTTTATGGCTCAAGTTTTATTTGAGAGTCTCTAACTAGAGAAAGATGGGCTTCTCTTGTGTGCTTTGATTTTTCTTCTTCATTATCTAGCATGGATATGCATAAGCCCAAGAGCAGACAGATCAAGGAAGTGGGTTAAGAGACATATTGGGCCGATAGAGGTATGAAGGTGGCACACAAAAGCAAATGTGAAAGGATGAGGCATGATTGTGATTATTATGAATCTCCTCCTGACATTCTCTTTCCTCTCTGGGCAGACTACTCTACCTTTCTTCTTTCTATTATTTGTTGCTTATGCTTGAACGTCATTTCCATATTGTATTAGGGCTCTTATTGTTGAATTGATTTCCATTTCATCCTTTTCATCGTGCAACTTGTTTTATTGGAGTGTAATATTGTGTCTGTGACATTTGGTGCTTTCATTGATAGATTAATGGCTGACAACGCAATGATGAAAGAGCTCCACTCAGACATGAAGAAGTTTCACAAGTTTATAGATGACGCTTCTGGACGTTTTGCAAAAATAGAAAGGATGATAGAGTCTTTGGCTAAGTCTGTGAATAATCTTAATCATCGTGCAGAGGTCTCTTCTCTAGATCATGGAATAGGGTCCTCAAAGTTGGCAAAGGGACGTAACGCAATAAACCGCAAACAAAGAAGGCCGTAAAAGTTGATTTTCTCAAATTTAATGGGGCTAAACCTTTGGATGGGTTGTTCTATGAAGAACAGTGCTTTAGTTTCTTTGAGATGACCAAGGTACAACAATTTGTTGATTGCGTTGAGGGTGGCTTGCAGCTTGATGTGTGACATAAGGTGGTCACACAAATTCCGTCAATATTATCAGAGGTCGTGGCATTGGGTCGAATATATTGGGGGAGAGAAATTTTTATGACAACTCCATCGAGGCTCTGCACGATTTTCTCAGCATCTTCTACGGGGGGTTTGAATGGAAGCACCAACATGAGTGTGACTCCAGCCAAAACGATGATGCAAATAAGGAGTAAATCCACACAAATGAAATTTCGGACCTAAAAGCAAGGGCACGCGAGGTTTGCTAAGTGCTATTTTGGTCGATAAAGATTTGTTACTTGGGTTACATCATTTCGGATACTGGGGTAGAAGTTGACTAGAGCATGATACAGGCGGTGTGAGATTGGCCAACTCCTTGTATAGTAACCTTGCTGCATGGCTTCCTTAGATTCATAGGCTTTTATTGATGATTCATACAACATGATGCATGGATTGCTAGTTTATTAACTCGATTTCCTAAAAAGAATGCATTCCAATGGCAAGATAAAGCTCAACCAAAACTAGACAAATTGAAGCAAGAACTAACAGATGCCCCTGTTTTAGCTCTGACAGATTTCACTCAGCCTTTCATTCTTCAAATTGACGCTTTGAGAGTGAGTCCTAGAGCAGTCCTCAGCCAAAATGAAAATCTCATTAATACCTCTCAATAAAACTTTCTAACAAGATTCAAGCTCCATTAGTTTATTACCGAGAGCTGTATGCTATTGTTGAAGCCTTATCTAAATTTTGACACATTTATTTGGGCACCACTTCATTACACTCATAGATCATGCTAGTTTGAAATATTTGATAGAGCAAAGGATTCAAACCCTGAATCAAGAGGCATGTCTACTTAAACCATTGGAATACTGCTTTACTGTGGAATACCAACTTGGAAATACCAATATCGAAGTTCATGCTCTCTCACGGGTTCCCATGACAACCATGAAATACAACCTGCATTAATGGATGAGGTCTATCAGGGGGTGCATTCTTCCCGAAGCATTTAGGATTGTCGTCACCAATTAAAGGTCAACCCTTCTATTCTACTTGGATATGTGTTGCAGCACGGCGATATGTATTGGTGCCACCAGTTAGTTTGGATCCATGATGACTTCGACCTTATTCAGCGAGTCTTATATGAATTTTGCACATCACTTACTGGTGGACATGCAAGTTACACTCGAACCTTTCATCATGTTGCCACTCAACTCTATTGGTCGAAAATGAGTAATGATATGAAGGAGTTTGTTCAAAATTGTCAACAAGCTAAAGTATTGCAGCTCCATTTCACCAATTTATTATAGTGACTGCTGATACCGAAATGTGTTTGGGAAGACACTACAACAAATTTGGTCATTGGGCTTCTGATCTTATAGGGGTACTCTATCATTTGTATGGCGGTTGCCCACATATCAAAATATGCACACTTCATATCCTTGAAAACTCACTACAACAATCAGATGGTGGCCAAGACTTTCTTGGATCCCGTTAACGAATTAAAAGATAGTCTACAGATGATAGACTTCAATCACTATCGCACCTTTAACGCATATTGGCGACATTTGTCCCGACTAAAGGGAACCCAACTCAAAATGAGCGCAAAGTAAAACCAACCGGAGGCAGTCAATCATTGCTATGAGATGTACTTATGCTATGGGTTTGAGCAGCCGCGTTGTTGGTTTGATTACCTTTCTTTGGCTGAGTTCTAGTATAATTCTGCTTACAATAGCTTCACTAGTATGCCTTCCTTTAAGGTCGTGAATGGCTGTGACCCTTCCCTTTTGCTCCCTCGTTATTCTGTAGAGGACATCCTCTTTGATATACATGCTCAGTTAAAGGCTAAGGATCTTGTTTAAAGGACCTTAAGGCTTCATTGTTGGAAGCATAGAATCGAATGAAGCATTTTTCTAAATAAAACGAATAGAGCTGCACTTTAGCGTCAGTGATTCAGTCTTTGTCAAGCTTCAGTCCTATTGTCAACATTCTATGCAACGTAGTAAATATTAGAAGATGGCTATAAGATATTTTGGCCCTTTCAAGATATGGAAAAGCTGAGTTTCAGTTCTTATCGTCTTGAGCTACCCATTGAACAACATGTTCATCTTGTTTTTTATGGGTCATTACTAAAGAAGTGTTCTGGAACAGGGGATCCGCCATTCATCCTTACTCCATTACTCTATCTCCAAGTGGCTCTTATTGCTCAACTCGAAGATGTTTTGGCAGTTCGGAAGGTGCAGAATGGAAAGAGCAGGGAGATGCAAATATGTATTCCCTGGACTATGCAGAGTTTTTTATTTGGGAATCCTTACTAAGATGCAATAGTTTTATCCTCACTTTGACTTGAGGACAAGGTCAAACTTATCGGCAAGGGTATTGTCATGGAGATTCATAAGCCCAAGAGGTAGACAGATCAAGGAAGTGGGCCGAGAGACATGTTAGGCTAGAAAAGGCATAAAGGTGGCACAAAAGCAAACGTGAGAGGGAATTCACATGGAAATTATGTGAGTACAAGGACGAGGAGGCTATGTAATGTGCGAATGTGAGAGGATGAGGCATGATTGTGATTATTGTGAATCTCCTTTGGACATTCTTTTTCCTCTCTAAGCAGACTACTCTACAATTCTGCTTTTTGTTATTTGTTGTTTATGCTTGAACGTCATTTCCGTATTGTATTAGGACTCTTATTGCTGAATTGATTTCCATTTCATCCTTTTCGTCATGCAACTTGTTTTTTTTTTTTTTTTTGAGTATAATATTGTGTTTGTGACATTATCTTCTTCCGCTGCTCTCCTCCAAACGCTCCCAATTTCAAGGTGTCCCCAATTTTTTTAAGGGTTATCATCTAGCTATCTTCTTTTAGCTTTTGAATTGGGACTTTGTAATATTTGATCGTCAACATCTACAAGTTATTCCAGTTTGTCTTCTTCTATGGAGGAAATTTCAGCGGAGGTGAGGCCGATTCATCATTGGAGTCAGTGGTAAACAATTACCACTTTTCTACCCTTGACCTGTCTATGAGTTGGAATCCATATCTTGCTTCTTTTTTTAATTTTAAAAAATAAGCCACATGAAAATTAAGCCAACTAACCATTAACTAATTGCTAATTGACAGAAGTTGAAATTGCACTCCTTTTAAAAATTTCAGGATAATATTGCCTAAAGAAAGTGTTTTAAAATATCAAGCATTTGGAGATATTTGTGCTCTTCGACCAATAATATTATTATAAAATTACCTTCATTATCCTCACATTTTCTCACTTTTTCACTCTCACCCTAAAGTTGAAAAGCATAATTATATTTTATTTCAATAATTAATTTTATAATTTTTCTTAAATAATGATTAACTAAAATCATTTATTTTTCTAATAAAATTCTCAAACAAAGAAATATTCCAATCAATTCCACCCCATGCCTTTCTATTTCATTATACATTTTAAAACATACTTTAAGTGCTTAATTCCCATTGAAACATGATTGTTAACTCGCCGAGTCAATGTTTTAAGCATATGAAAATGGGTTAAATTGATTATAAATTCGGTCCTAATACTAGCTCAGTTAAACTTGCCCTTAACTCGCAAAAAAAAAAAAAAAAAGTACACTCAATGATTTTAGGCCAAGTCAAGTAAGTTGGAGTATGTATCAAAATCTAACCCAAAAATACAGCCCACAACCCAAACAGTGAAAACAAAATAAAAATGATAACTTGACCTAAAAAAATATGTCGACGGCTGTCCTCCATTGTTTGCCTTCCTGATTCATCTTCTTCCAAGCAAGCCTTCAAGACTCTGCTCTTATTCTTCTTCTAGCTGGACTCAGGAAAAAAGTAACCAGAAGAGAGAGAAAGAGCAGAGAACACACGGAGGAAAGAAGAGGGAGTGGAAGAAAGAAGAAAAAATGTTTTCTTATTAAAGGGTACGTTGGTTTAAGGTAGACTAAGGTGAAGAGTGGGACGAGTCTTTTCATCGAAGGTAACTTTCTCTTTCCTCAACTTTTCTATTTTGAAATTTTTATATTACAAAAAGGACAAAAGCTTGTTAGTTTTCCCCCCCCCCCCACCCCTTTTTTTTTTTTAAACCAAAGCTTGTTAACTGCTTACATATGCGAACACACTTTTTCCCCTCAATAAACACTCCCCTGGTTAAAATTTTCTCTAACCATGGTCTCAAGCCCTCAGCCATATCAAAAAAGAAAAAAAAATAAGATGCTTTCTAGATCTTTGGTATTTTTTTTTTCTCTTCATATTGTGCTATTAAACTTAATGTGAATTTTTGTTGGTTTTCACGTTAGTCGGGCGTGATCCAATTTTCACAAAAAATTAGACTCTATAATAAATTGTAGTATATTTTTTATATAAAAAATAAATTATACTGTAATATATTTACATAAAATAGTATATTTTATATGCCTTGTTTTGTTTAACATGTTTTTTTTTATTTTGGAATCTTGTTGACTGCTTGGTTCAGTCAATATAATAAGTTGAATATGTCATCAAGTGGAGTTGCTAGAAAAAAAGTTGTTACTGGAAGAAAAAATTATCCCAGTAATAGATATGTTATAAGATGGAAATACGGAATGAATATTGATGGGAATGGTAAAAAAGTAAATTGCAACTATTGGCAAAATTGTTACTAGAGATACTTACATATTTAAACACCACTTAGTTGGTACTAAAATAGATGTTGAAGGTTATGTCAGTGTTTTGGATGATTTTAACATACATATATGAAGTCAAATGTGCAACATCTAAAAGAAAAAAAAATATGTTGATGTTGGCGTAGAAGATTAATATACACAAGCACAAGTTGAGACTTAAGAAAAGGAAAATGGGATTATGAATTTTTTGAAAAGTAGTTCAAAAAATAACAACAAGGATGTGAGCAACACTCAATCAACTATTAACCAAATGGTCAAGAGAGTTTTGAGGGAAGAAGCTTGTCAACAAACAGCTAGATTTTTTTATACAAGTTCTATTACTTTTAATTGAGTGAAAAATCTAAAATTTATAAAAATGTGTGAGATTATAAAAAAATATGGCCTTGGACTTAAATCTCCTTCTTATCATGAGATTAGAGAAAAGTACTTGAATCTAGAAGTTAAAATATGTTGGATACATTTAGGAGTGTATGGACAACAAGTTGTTCCATTATATCTGATCGATGGACCGATAAAAAAAGATGTTCAATTTATAATTTATTACTAAACTATCCTAAAAGGACTATATTTTTATATTCACTGGTCAATTTTTATTTTTTTAAGACAATCAATAAAAATTTTGTTTTTCTTGATGAAGTTATAGAAAAAGTGGGAGAGAGAAATGTGATGCAAATAATAACAGATCATGCTACAAACTACAAGGCAGCTAGACAAAAATTGATGGAGAAGAGAAAATACTTGTATTGGACACCATTTTTAGCTCACTATATCGACTTGATGTTGGAGGACCTTGATGAAAAACTTACATTATATCAAGAAACCATAAGCAAGAGTAGAGGAATTACAACATATATTTATAATAGAGTAATGCTCATTAGTCTTCTAAGAAAATTCACAAATGGTCGAGATTTAGTTAGACCAGCTACAACTCAATTCGCTATTGCATATTTGACAATATCATGTCTTATTGAAAATAAAGCAGCATTGATAAATTTATTTCATTCTAAGGAGGAGTGGAATGATAGTAAATTTTCATCCACCAAAGAAGGAAAAAAAAATAGCTAGAAGTGCTTTGGATAATGATTTGTGGAAGAACATTGTAATATGTCTTAAGGTCACTACTCCTCTCATTAAAGTTCTTAGCTTGGTGGACTCAGATGAGAAGGTGGCTATGAGATTCATACATGAAGCAGTGGAAACTATAAGGCAAAAGATTAAAGAGAATTTTAACAATGTCAAAAAGAGGTGAGTAGTAAATTTAAATATTTAATTCTTGTGCTTAAATTTATAAATGCAATTTTATATCATGATTTTTTTGTAGTTATGCACAAATGTTGAACATAATTGGATGAGAGGTGGGAAACTCCATTGCATAAACCTTTGCATGTAGCTGCATACCATTTCAATCATCATTTTCACTATAACCCTGATTTCAAAGTTGATTATTTGGTTAAAGAAGGATTATATAATTGCTTCTCAAGAATGTTTGAAGATTCGGAAGAGAGAGAGAAGATTAAGTATTAATTAAATGACTTCCACTATATGCAAGAGCTATGTTTGGATGTGATAGTGCACAGTTTTTAAGAACAAAAATGCCTTCGACAAAATGGTGGAATTCTTATGGAAATGAATGCCTTGAACTTTAAAGAATTGCAATTTGCATTCTCAATTTATGTTGTAGCTCTTTAAGATGTGAACATAATTGGAGTGCTTTTGAGATGGTAGGTTGTAAATTTTGAAATATTATTTATGTTGTTATAATATTAGAAAATTGACTTTTTTTTTGTAGATTCACATCAAAAAAAGAAATTGCTTGCATAAAAAAAAGATGAATGATTTAGCATTTGTAATGAGCAATTTGAAAATAAGAAGCAAGGAAAATAGGTGATGAATGGATAATAGAAGGGAGAATAAATGAAGGTACTTACAACATGATGGAAGGTGATGAGGTTTTGCAATACATTGAAAATATTGAGAATATTAATAATTCTATGCACAAGCCAATGATAGAGCTTGATGATCATATTGAAATTGATTTAAATGTTAATTTAAATGTTCATAGTCGTAATCATAATGTTGATGATATAGATGGAGATGATGATATTGATAAAGAATTTGAAGGTAACGGATATGACCATAAAAGATTATTTGAAGATTTTTATTGCATATAGATTAATATACTTTATTATTGTTTAAGTTAAATGACTTTTTTCTCGAACATTTAAGTTGAATGACTTTTTTTCTAAGCATTTAGGTTGAATGACTTTGTTTAAAAACTTTATTATTAGTTTTATATTAAGAATTATGAATTTTGATATGTGTGTGTATTTGTTTTTAATTATTATAATTTGGATTATATTCAAGTAAAACTGGTTCTTAAAACACTATGTTTTAAATATAGTATTATTTATTTTAATAATATTTATTATTAAAGATAAATTTTTATAAATTTACAATACGAATTGACATTGAAGTTATCATTATAAATTTATATAAACTTATAAGTTTGATAACTTTGCATTGAAACATGTTATAACCATCCTTAACTATATAGTCATGTACTCCTTAAATTTAAAATTTCTTATAATTTTTTATTACTTTCAACTTTCAATAATGTCATGCGTTTTACGATGCCCTTTTGTTTTTTTGGTCCAAAATTCCAATCATATTTGTCCACATGGGTAGAAAAAGGCTAAGTTAAAAAAAAAAAAAAAAAGACCCTTCCCTTAATGAGAACACAGTACAAAGCCAAGCAGTGAAATCTAAAAAGTAACAATATTACAAGAAAGAAAGACACTGAGTGAAGAGCTAAATAGGAGATTAAGGAACATGTATCCACTTCCTTGTGTCTTCATACATTACTGATTTTCTTCAAGGAAGTCAATAAGTTCCTTGCAAGCTAGTTTTTCAGCCATGTCCCCATTGGGAGCTTTAATAGTTTTCTCATACATTTTCCCATTAGCCAGAACCCTAACTGTGACACAAGTGAAGTGATTGCTTCTGGAAACCAATCGCTTCTCATATTTATAATTTTGTTTTTGGCAGATTTACGAACGGGTTGAATCGGTACAGTTTCAGGTGTTACCAAAGGTTCTAATAAAGGTATGATGCTTTTGAACACAATGTCTTTGTTGAACCCTGAATCAACCATTATTGCTCCAGCTAGAGACTCTATAATATCTGCAAGTACCTGTGAATGACTAATATTTAATATTGAACTTAAAATTAGGGCATTTTGGATGATGTACACACCCTCCCATGGACATAGTATGTGCTATATGGTTTATCCAACTACAGAAGCTTCACATTCATAGAATGAAGGCAGAGCATGTATTTAGAGAAAAATAGAGAAAAAAAGGTGGAGTATTAGGGTCTGTTTGATTTTGTTTTCAAAAACTATTTTTATGTTTTTCAAGACAAAAAAAATAAAAAATGAAAAAAATGAAACCATTTCAGAGCTATTTTTTTATTTTTTTATTTTTTTATTTTCAAATGTACTATATTTAACTATTGGAAACTATGATCAGCTATAGTTAATCAGTATCATAAGCTATCATTGTTAACCACTTGTGGCCACCACCACTGGCTGATTTTTGAGCTCTAACCCTTGGTTGGACGTGGAGAAAAAATAAAGAGGAAGGAAAACTAAAAAGAAAACTCTTAAAAATAGTGAGAAAAAAAAATTACTATTTTTGGAAAATTTTCTCTAAGTTTTCTATCCTCCCTATTTTCTTCCCACTTCTCAATCAAACTATATTATAAAAAAAAGATGCTTTTTTTTTTAAAAAAAAATGGGAACTCAATCAAACAAGCCCTTAGATTTCATAACTAATTATGAGATACTGAGGTCACTCTCGTCTAGTTGAATGCACCCTATAATTTTCATGTGAATAGGTTCAAAAGGCAAGATTGTATACTCCAATGGTGAGCAAATATACCAAAATGATATTTGACTATAAGCACTAAAACGCCACTGTAACAATAATATGAATAATCATAGACTCAACTAAATCATTATTTCAAGACCAATAAGATGAATGGTAAGTACTAACCTTAGGAAAATATGTCTCTGTATCCCACCCAAAAGTTGGTTCAGTGGACGACTCTTCAAACTTATTTATCGCTTTAACAATATTCTTCTCTAATTCTTGAGAGGAATGGATTATGTGTTTGTGTAAGCCAGCTTTAATGGCAAACTGAGCATAACAATCATTATTTACAGAAGCAGACCTCATGTCAGTCAACAACTCTGGAGATAGGTTAGGATATTTATTGTACAGATGCTCAGTGATGAGAAAATCCAACACAGAATCCCCAAGAAATTCTAGTCGCTGCAGGGAAAAAGCATTTTTATACATATACATTATTCAATTATTATGAAAGTAATATAAAAAAACATAACTACTCATGGGTTACATCAATAATTCCAAAAGACAAGCTCCTTTTAATGGGATGACCTTGAAGATTTAGCTTATCATAGATACTCCCTCCAATCCTATGTGTAAGTTATCTTTTAGAAGGAATTTATGGTCATTTTTATAAATCACTTTACATAAAAATGTGGATCATCATTTACCTTCTTACAATTTCACCCTTTCACAATTTTTCCATAAGTAGAGTAAAAAGCTATAGGAGAGGAAAAGTGTTTTTAAAGATGTTGTAAAATTTCTGTTTTATTTTTTTAAGACAACATCAATAATTTAACTATCTCTCATTAGTTTTGGTGAGGCAGTTAAAAGCGACTTATATATAAGACAAGAGAAGTAACTATTAGGTGGAAAATCATGGCTTGTATACCAAGAGTCCTAGACCTAACTCCAAGCCAGTCTCATCTCAAGTGTCTGTAAAACTGTATTATGGTCAAAGTTAGGTCCAAGTACTGTTTATGGTTTTGCTGAAAAGATGCCAACATGAAAATCAGTTAAGAAAATATACACACAACCCAGCCATTTTTTTAAGTACCTGATAACATGTTGGAATTTCTGGCCGTATGTAAGAGCCATGGGTGAGAGCTTCCACCAAGAGAAAACGGTCATTGAATGAGTAGTTCAACACGGATTCCAGACATCTGACCTTGACAAGTCTCTCTGGATCTATGTTTAAAAGCCTCTTATTAGGTGTTATTTCAAAATCCACCTTTATTCCAATCCAATCCATAAACTTCAAAGCAGCTTTCTCTCCACCTGTGCTGAGGAAAGCCCCAACCAAGGCTTCAACAACATCAGCAATTATATCATATTTCATTTTTCTGCTCCCACCAACATACATTTTTGTCATATCTGAGACCAATTCCTCTTTCAAAGTAACACTTCTAGACCTATCTCCTGGTATAATCCATTTCTTTGGATCAAAAGGTCTGCTTCGTATGAAGCCCTGCCAAAAAAAAAAATAAAAAGAAAGAAAGAGAAAAAGAAGGAACCATTTCAGAATACAGCACAACAAGTGGATATATCGGTTAAGTTAGTTTTGACAAAAATAAAGTAGTTCTTAACAGAATCTAGAGAAACTTAATCTTCAAGTTATGGGATATATCATATTGTAATCATCCTCTTACAATGAGATAGGATTTTCTATGATATGATTTATGACTTTATGTCAACCATCCACACTATAAATAGAGGAGGCTGGTTCAAGAGAAAGAACATGCCGAAGTTGAATATCTCTTCTGCATTCACTCTTTTCTCTACTCTTTATTTTCTCTTACAATGCATCTATTGTGCCTTATAGAAATGACTCTAGTAGTCTATACTCTTTGTGAGCTTTCGGATTATATACCCTGATCCGGTATGGTTGTTTTATGTGAATAAGATGAGAAAGAAATAATACCGGAAGTTTAGAGTTGCACCCTAACCTACTGAGAAAGGCATTAGATATCATCTTCTCCTTCTTCACAGTAAGGAGACCTTCTGGATCAAATGGATAAAATTGATAAAGATGCTGACAAGTAATATATTTAAGGAAAGAATCTCCAAGAGTCTCTAGCAAGTCATAGTCAAATGATTCTTGACATGCCTTTGTAGTAATTGCTTCCAAGATCTACAATGCACAAAGCAAATGCCATTATTATAGGTATCACCAAAAACACTGGAACAAACACAACAAATGTATATAAGAAAATAAAATTCCATCATTATGATGTAATGAAAGCATGAGTAAGAGATGGAGAGGTTGGCATTGGACATGATGTCAAAGTCAAACCTTCTCAAAAAATGAGAAGGCAAACATAATAATCCATCAAGCACCTTTAAGCAAATAATTAAGGCAAACAGAATAATCCATCAAGCACCTTTAAGCAAATAATTACACACTCATACTGAGAAGACCCAACATAGTTAAGCCAAAAGATACTATTATAGAAAGTTCACATCATAACAAAAGCATTACATTATTTTTTGGTAATCTAATTAAGGGGGAACTATAGTGAAGTCCTGAAAGATCAAATTAATGACAGTTAAGTTCTTGATAAATTTTCTAAAAAATGTGTTGCAAGTATTGATTTAGACAATTACAAACAAGAATCCCCATTGCAAATTGAGAGTTATAGTTAGAAATTAAATATTTTATTTACAATTAGAACTCCTGAATTTGTAATTATTTAAATCGATATCTATCACTTATTTTTCGTAAAATTTTATTAGGAATTTAACTGACATTAATTTGCTTTTTCAGGATTTAACTACCATTTTCCCGCTGATTAATCTCTTTATTGCGTATTCATTGAGAAGATGTCGGAAAAAGTAGGCTAGATCAATTCTTTTGCTTTGGTTATCTAGTATCCTGTCTTTTCCATTAATACTCTCTCTATTTTGTCCAACAAATAAAAATACTTCTCTATAACTGATTAATCTAGAAAAACATATATTCTTTTTCTTCATCATATGGATAGTTAATAAGCCTCGGTAGAAAGAAATGAAATTTTCAATCCTTGGCAACACTTGGAAACATAACTACTATAATTACATCCTGATAGTACATTTTCACAGCAAAAGAATACTAGCTTACCTTGTCTGTTGGAATATCATTTTGCATGCACATCTTTTTCAAGTTGGAAGCCACAAGCAATGACTCAAGACGATGTACTATTGATGGAATGAATGAGAGTGAATATATTGTACTGGCTGATATGGGTGACATAACAATAGAGCACAGTTCAGGAGGCAATTCAATTGAAGCCTTGGTTGATTCTGAAGAAAAATAATATATAATCAGCAGCACACAGAGAAAAATGATACTAACACTGGCTTAAGGAAAAGTTAGAAAGATGAAACTTCTAGGAACAGCTAAATATAGCCTTTGCACTTGTTTCATGGGCAAAAACTGTATGTTATTTCCAGAAAGCATCAAGCAACTTTACAGATATGCTTGGAATGAGAAGAAAACAGAGAAGAGAAAACTAGGGGAGAAAACTAGAGGAAAAGGACATTTTATACGTTTGTTTACTCCTAATTTCTTCCTAGAGAGAGCGGAAAAACTTTATGATAGAAATGAAAGAATGTTTTTTTTCTTCTACTTTTCTCTCATTGATTTCTTTCCTTCCTATTTTCTTCCCATTCCAAATGGAGGGTACCAGTTCAAGTTCAAATACTGGAATCAAAATTCAAACCTCTTTCCTTCACTTGTCTATTTTTGAGTAGGTAATTTTGCAACTTAATTATCTGCCTTCCATTATATGGCTTTTGCTTTTCAAAAGACAAATGAATTCCATACCTGAAATGCAGGATAAGTGATGAGAACATGACAGAGTAAAAAAAACCTATGGAAAATATTAACTTGAAAACCAGACCTCAGCCACAAATATTATCTTACTTTTTTGCAAAGTATTTTTTGCATGTAATTGCTTCACCATTCCTATTTCTTAGCAGGGAGTTCCCATCCAATTCCATTATACCAGTAATGATATAAAAATGACCATTATGAGGAGTATAGACCAATGAATTTTCAAGTTCGCAGGAACAAACAAAACCATTTTGAGTGTATACATTTGCAATATGATTGTTGCAACCTTCTTGAGATGAAGGCCAGTCAATGGTTAAAGGTTTTTGTTGTGTGGTAGTGAAAGGAAGTAGAAGATAATCAACCTCAAGATCATCTTCTAGACAGAGTTCATTTAAAATATCTGTCAACTTGGCCATATCATAACCACAAAGTATCCCAAACACAGTGACCTGTTTTTTTCTGCACAAAAGAACCTGAAAAGGGACAACAAAACGAAAACACAGTAATTTCATTAAACTTTGTAGCACTTGCCATTATGCTTGTATAAACCAGAAAGAGAACAAATTGGCATACCTCATTTAGGCCAAGATTTTTTATTCCAATGTAATTAAACTTTACTGCTAGGCTCCCTCGGTTAGTACACATTTTAAATTCCATTAACCCAATAACTTCTGGATCAAGCTCACACCTTGTGGCAAGAATAACATCGCTAGTAGAAACATCATTGGTAAAGTCTTGTTTCAACTCTATTAAATAGCAGTGATACACTGTATTGCCATCAATGTGTGAAAATCTATTGACCAATTCAGGTGGGATATACTGAGGTTGCTCTTCGTTATAGGATTCATTCACTGTAAGAATCGGATCATAAATGGTCAAACAAAAAGGAAACATAAGAGGAAATCAGCAAAATAAATAACAGGCACGAAATTACCTAATTCTTCCACCACCTTGCTGTCCATGATGATATCAGTGCCAAGATTGCCTGAGAAAGCTCCAAGCCTTATTCTCTTACTCTGCAATTTCAAACGGTTGATGAAAAGCGTCAGGCAAAAAGTAGTGAGAGAGGAAAGTATAAATAACACTGCAACAGGTCAGTGTCTCCTTCGTGAGCAAGTTAGCTTACAACTTAAGGAGACCCACAAGTGAGAGAGAGAACGAAAAGAGCCATTATATTGGTTCTCGGCTTCTCGCTTTCGGAAAGAAGGAAAGCGAGCAATACAACTAGGAAACCACAAGGAAAGTGGCCAGCTTTGCTCCTTGTTAGTCAAGTTAACTTTAAAATATTTAAATTCCCGTTAACCCAATAAAAATGGTTAACAGTGTACTGGAAAATAATAACATGGGAAAACACAGTTATCAGTCCTATAGTTTTATCGGCTTTTATTTTTAATTTCTATAGTTTTCCTCTTCAGTTTTTCATTCTTTATAGTTTCAGCAAGATTGATGATGTTTGTTATTTAGTTCCCTGTAATTTTAGTGTTTTCAATCTCTATAAGGATTAAAAATACTAAAAAAAATTTATAAGAATTGAAAGCAAAACTCAATAAAATTATAAAAATAAATAATTATATTTTTCTTGGTGATGATTAGCTTTATTAACCTTATATACTTAACGTTTTCATTTCTAATAAAATCAAAGTATGTGAATCTTTTATAAATTATTCATTATTCATTGTATATTAAATTTATTAATACATTAAAATTTACTAATCATGATTAGATTGTATATAAGTATATTAAATGTATATAACTTAGTAGATGAGCATGAAATGATTGATAGATAGAGCTCTTGATCACAGGAACGCCAAAGAACAGGTACATTAGAAGGATTGCAAGAGAACTTGGGAGACGATGGAACGGGAAAGTGTCGCATGTGCTGCATGAAGGGACTCAAAGTGCAGATTGGCTGGCCAGATGGAGCTTCATTCAAACCAACGACGTCGTCCAGCTATACTACATAATCCGCCTGTGGATTCATGTGAAGTGCTGCATCGGAATAGTCTGTGCTATTCCAGTCCTCGAATATTATTTTAGTTCCTTTGAGTTTGGGCTTTTGTCCCGCTGTGTTCGCCCAAAAAAACTTAAATACATACTCCTTCCGGTAAAAGACAAAGTATTTTTTAAGAAATTAAATATTAAAAAATATAAAATATTTTTCATATTTTAAGGTATAATTGTTGTATTTTTTTGTAAAAGTATAAATAATAAATAAATTATTTTATATTTACTTTAAAGTGAAACATCCCATTAAATAGAGATAAGTTTATTAAAGGTGAAATTATGTTAAAAATGCCTTATATTTTTTAACGGAGAAAGTAAGTTTTACCCTAATAATGATACTTCCACCATATTAATTTATAAGATACTTCTGAAGTTAATTCGATGTTTCAAAATATAAGATACTTTAATTTAAAAAATAAAATTTTATTAATTATATTTGTTATAATATTACCGTTCCCTCCTTATTTTATTTCTCTCTCTCTCTCTATTTAATGTTTTGTAATAAGGTTATATTAAATGAAGAGTATTTTTAAAAATTTATATTTATGTTTTAAAAAAATTGTAAAATTTTATTTATTTAATGAATTTTATTGAACAAATTGAGCATTATGCTACAAATAAAAAAAAATTTACCTTATTGCCAATAAAAAAAGAATTTACCTAAAGCTCAAGAGTTAAGTACTTACTTTCATATACTTAATATACTTTTAGTCAATCAACTTAAAACAAATAGATTTTAATATCTTATTAATAAAATTAATAATAAGAATTTATTATAAAATAAATATTTATAAAAGATTCACATATCTTGATTTAATTAAAAATAAGTATTTTAAATATATAATATTTTTCTTACCTAAATGCTACACTTTTGAAACTGTTTACCACAATGCTATAATCTTTAAAATTGTCTTACGGCACATTGAGCATACTATCACCAAAATTGGCTTCTACAAAATACTGAAATTGAGTTATCACTTAATTTTTGAAAAAAATATTTGTTGAAGTTTGTAACTGATCTATAACCCATCATCCCACCCTGCAAAGCCTTCTCTCATTTTTAGTCTAAAGTTTGAGCAATTTAAGGTCTATTTGGCAACTTGTTCTGAAAACAGTTTTCTATTTTTCAGAACAAAAGAACAAAAAGATATGTTTGATAACATATTTTTAAAAAGTGTTTTAAAGAATAAAAAAATAAAATATTATTTTGGAGAACAGAAAAATGAAAACAACTTTCAGGTGTTCTAATATTATTATGCTGAAGAACAAGAAAGAATGAGAAAAATACATATTTTTATTATTTTTTGTTCTCATAACTTATTTTACAAAACATTAATTCTCAAAATAATAAAATAAAAACAGTTTTAAATAGCCTTTTAGTATTCATTAACGTGGAAATATGGTCCAAAATTAGTAATAAAAATTGGAAAAATAAAGCAGTCCTTGTACTTCAACATGATTTGGCGTTAGTTCCTTTAGCTTATTTTCTCATTACTCTTGGTTCCTTCAATTTTATCCATTTACAATGTTAGTCTTTATTTTCACATATTATTTAATTCATCATGACTTTACCAACTCAGCACAACAATTAACGGAATTACATATAAATAAGTAGAGTTAACTCTATAAGTGATGAAGAAGACTAACATTGCAAGCAAATAAAATTTAAAAAATATGAGCGCTGAAAAAAAAAATAATAGGACTAATACCAAAACATGTAAAACTATAAGAAAACAATCATATTTTTCTATAATAATAACAATTATTGGTCCATATAATTTTATAAGTTGAAATTTTCAATGATTTTTATATATAGATGTAACATCTTGAAGAATTTAACCCCTAATGAGTTGAATAAATGAGGACTAATTAAGTAAATTAGCATGATGTATAGTTACAGAAGGCTAATGGGTATTTTAGGTTGTCATTTTAACCTTGGGATTAAGTCCAAGTGAAGTTAGGCCATCGGGCATTAAAAAAATGAGAAAAACAAAGATAAAAGGCTCTGTTACACATATCACAGTGCAGGGGGACATGCGCCGCAGTGCATTGTAACAAATTTGTAGAAATAAGACGTGAAAACAGATAAAAAATAGAAGAGAAACAAAGGAGAAGTGAAGGAGAAACAAAAGAGTTCTATTGGGCGTAAAGAATTGAAGCATTGGGAGTATTTTAGAGCTTCTAAACATTATAGATAAGGTTCTTAAGCTCTTTCATTCTCTTTCTCTTGCATTTTTATGATGTTGAGAGTAAGGGTATGGTTGAGAATGATGATTTTTGGTCCATAAAGGCTATGGGTCCAAATTCATTGATTTAGATAAAGTTAATGAAAATTAATTGAACTATCTAAACCTAGCATTTATGAATCCATGTGTTTTTGGTTCGTTAGGGCCATAAATGAATGAAAATCCACCATTAATGAGGTGGTTGGGGCAATATAACTTCATTAATAGTTATTTAAGAATTCAATGAGGTTAATGGAAGTTAAACGAAGTTTATAAGCCCTATGGATACTTTTGTATGTGAAGAGATTGAATCTTAGAAGTAAAGAAGTATTTGATTTAATAATGAAAAGTATCCAAAAAAGAGTATTGATAAATTATGTTGTGATTAATTATAGAGTGAGTATATTTAGAACCATTCAAGTTTCATGAAAGCTTTAAGAGTGTGTATTTAAAAGGTAAAATCTTTGACCTCTCAAAGGTTTGAAATAACTGAGGAAATTCTTTCTTATACTTTTGTATGTTAATTAGTTTATTAAGTTGTATTTGATGATTTAAATGTGTGAAATTGAATGAAATGCAAGTATGGCATGACTTACTTGAAAATCCACTATGATGATCTTGTTAAGTTCAATGATGTGCTTTTCATTTGAAGTTCAACAATGTCATTCGCAAATGGAATTCAGTGATTGTTGTGTCATGAGGAGTTCAATGAAATAGTGTTTTGTGGAATTCTATGATGTGTTGTTAGTGAAATTCAATGAATGTGTAGAAGAGGAGTTCAATGAGATAAGTGAAATGGAGTTTGATGATTTGTTTTTGTGAGTTAATGTGTTTTTCATATCTATGATGAGTACAATAATAATGTTATGCATGCTTGAACATTGAGTAATTGCATGCCTTGAAATGTTGCATTGATGTGATTAGTCTTATTTCTATATTAAATTATATTACTAAATCATTAACTCATGAGCATGTGTTATTGTGAATGAGAATTTTGAATTATGCTCTTGAAGATGTTAAATAATTTGAAATTAAATATCTTTGCTTCTTACATTTAAATTGATTAACATGCATTAGTATGAGTTAGAAGGATTTTGATTACTGAGTAGTTGTACTCATTTCCATTATCTTCAATATTATATAAAATAACTCAACAGGATAAGACAAAGGAAAACAGCCTGAGGCATAAGATTACTATCCTATCTGTAGGCCTCCTTTTCTTTTTGATTATTAATGTGTATACTCTTGTATGATATTTCCAACTAGAGAAAGTTCATGTTGTGATTTACTTGCATTATGTGTTTTGTTAAACTATATTGTGTATTTTAGGCCCTAGGGTGCATAGGTAATGATTGTGAAATTTATAACAGGGCCAAAATACTAGTGCAAGTAAGGGTTGTGAATGACATTTGATTGATGATGATTAATTGATGAAATGTGTGATTGGAACTCCCCCTTTTGTTTTTTAAATTTAGAGGTTGAGCATTGAAAATGTAATGTATTTGTTAATTGTGAGTTATGGTGTATTGCACAGTTCTGTTTTAGTCCTTTAAGTTTGGTTTAGGGTGTGAAATTGGTTTTTAACACAAGCTATGTCAATTGGACACTTAAGTTGTGCTATAAGATTGAAAAATGAGTGATTTTTGAAATGGGTGTCCGTATTTTGATTGAGAAATGATATGATTATGAAATTAGTGTAATTAGTTAGATATAGGAGAAAGTTCTCTATAAACACTTAGATCGCCCCAATTAAAGATCGAAAGGGGACATGGCGAGCATCGAAAGTTCACCCTAGTTGCTATCAAGTGATAGCAAAATTTGCTATCAAATATGTACAATGCGCCACGGTGCACGCCTCTCTGCTGCATTGATTCATTGTTTTCAATTGTTTGAGCAAATGTCTTGATTCTTTTTGGAGATTCCATACTTCCGCATATTAATTGAACTTTGATTTTCGGCTTGTAAAGATCTTTTTGGATGTGTTAAATATTAAAAATTTAGGATTTCATTTGTGAAATCGAACAATGATAATTACATTGATGTTTGAAGATTAGGGAAGATTAGCAAGAACAACCTTGCTCGTTCAACCCAGAGATTTTACAATAGACATCTTGCTATTTGGAATATTAAAAATTCCAAGGTGTGTGTCTCTAATGAAATATTATAAAATGTCTATTATTCCCTCCATTTCAAATTGGTAGACAATTTTAAAGGAATTTGTTGTCCCAAAATATAAGATAATTTAATAAAAATAATTTTTTAAAACAATTTTTTTCAATATTACTCTTCAAGTGAAGAGAGAATTGAAATATTATTATAGTATAATGATTGCTTGTTTGGGTTTCCTTCAAAAGTTCATTCAAAATACATTTGAAATGTGCATTTTGCCAAATCTAATAAATAATTTTTTTTTTCAAACAAAATTTTGTAAACTGAAAATTAAATACGTACTAAGGTCTCACATGGTATGAGAGAATAGGTGCAGATAGAATGAAAATGAATAAAGAAATGTTTATCTTAAATGTTTGATATATTGGAATAGGTATTTCAATGGAATGGCCTATTATCTCATTTGAGGGAACGTGCATTCCTTCAAGGGACTATTGGAATGGCTCTATTTCATGGGAATAAGCATTTTTTATGGAAGCTATGAGAAAGGGCAAGTTTGGAATCACGTACGCTACCAATTTGGCCAATCGATTGACTGGTTTTTATCGATTATGTTATGATTGGAGCTACTTCAATGAAAAGAATACCTCACTGAATACTCTATAGACAAAAGATGAGATATTTATTAAGGTCCTTGATGCAGACTCAAAAACCCATTTTCGATGATTCTAGCATCAGGAAGCACGAAACTTTCTTGAAACAACCCATGGTGCAGTCCTCCATGAATGGCTTAGTCTTTAGACTTCATTGATTTCATAGAATTCATTAGTTACTGTGTTGATTAGTAATGGAAGGTTGGAGGAAGCAAGACAGTGCCCGTTTGGTTTGCGTCAAGAATCAATTTTTTGGGGTTTAATCGATTTTCAAAACAAAATTTGCCAAACAGTAGAAAAATGCAATAATCGATTAGGGAGGTTAAACGCGCGTTAATTCTTAATCTACCAAAACCAGCTTCAGCTTTAAGCTTTTTACCGTTATTCACGTGCTCTTTATCTGTGCCCTTCACGTGATTGAGTTCTCTTCTTTCTAATCCTCATTTGTCTTCTATCAGTCGCAGCTTTCTTTCTGTGATCTCCTCTTTCGTTCAGCTCACCAGTCGGTCCTCACGGTGGTGCCGCCGCTCTGTCGTCGTCCAGCCATCCCCAACTTAGTCACCGTCCACCATCTCCCGTCGTCCACCCACCTCCAACAGGTGTGCCGTCTCACAGTCAGTTCTCACAGAGGCAAGGATCTTTCGACTATCTTCCAACTCTGTACAGATTTGTGGTCCTCGTGGCGTCACCTCCTCCGTCCACCGTCTCTGAGTTGCTTCCAGTGGTGGTGATCTCTTGCTATAGTCGAGGAAGGCAGTAAGCTTTATCTATACTCTATTTCCTCGATCTGCTCATGGTCCTCCGTCTGTCGCTGATCTGCTCGTGGTCCTCCGTCCATCGCTGATCTGCTCGTGGTCCTCCGTCCGTCGCTGATCTGCTCGTGGTCCTCCGTCCGTCGCTGCTCTGCTCGTGGTCTTCTTCAGTCGGTCTAACTCAGAGGTAAGTGATCTTCTCTTTTTGGACGATCTTGTTCAGGTTTGATCTTGGTCAAATTTTGTTTTCCTCTCCACTCTGATCTATGCATGGATGGATTTGTTCTCGGGATTGCTGGCTTAGTTTTGTGTGGCTTGAACCATTTACAACTCTTGAACATTTGCAAATAATAAGATAGGTGAAAGTTGATTTTTTATGCTATTTTTGTGTTAGTTTTGTGCCTAGTTGAACTCTGTGCTGAACATGGGAGACCTGTTAAAAGTTAATTTTGTAGCTATTGAAACTTGATTTTAGTCAAAATCTATGCATTTGCAAATTGTGGGAAAGCTGGTGAAAGTTAATTTTGTGCCAAGTCGAACTCTTTGCTGGTTTTGGTTTGTGATCACTGATTACTGGAGCTTTATTCTCAAACATTATGTTTTGCATATATAGGGGTCATTTAGTCGAATTTTTTGCTGTGTGAGTCTCTGTTGAATTTGGCTCCTCTGAAAATTGCCAAGTTTTTATCATGTAATATTTTAATTATAATTCCTATAATTAATATGTTAGTTTTTTACATAGTATAATGAGTAACAATAAGTCAAAAGCTTCATGGGATCGAAGAAATACTAGAATCTTTATTGACATTTGTTTGGACCAAGCTCGAAAATCGCAAAGAAATGGTGGTAGTTTTACCAAAGCAGGATGGCTCAGCATAATTTCTACCTTCAATAAGAAGACTGGACAGAAATATGACAGACAACAATTCAAGAATAAGTGGGATAATATGAGAAAAGAGTGGGTACTATGGGATAAGTTAGTTTCAAGTGAGACAGGATTGGGTTGGGATTATGCAAACAATACTGTGGATGCTTCAGACGATTGGTGGGAGAAGAAGATATTGGTATGATGTTATTATATGAGGCTTTATATTTATTTTATTTATTTGTGTATTCTGTAATATTATTGATAATTTATGTGCAGGAAAATCCATTATATGAGAAATTCAGACATAAAGGATTACCATTTGCCAATGAATTAACCGAGTTGTTCCAAGGTACTATCGCCAATGGACCTAGAGCATGGGCACCTTCAAGTGGAGTTTTGCCTAACATTTACAATAGGAATGAAGGTGAGGATGAAGAGGTGTATCGGCCTGATATGGCAAATGAGGGTATTGATTTGGAGGAAGGTTCAAGAGATAGTGATGAGATCTTAAGAACTACTGGAGTAAGCGGTGAATTTAATAGAGTAGTTCTAAATGCTTCTCAAGGAACCTTAAGTGGAAGCAGTGGTAAGAGGAAGAGGGGCGAAAGCAGTAACGGTAGAAAGAAGAACAAGTTACCTAGTACAAGTCAAATAGCAGATGCAATGAGTGTGATAGCTCAGACAACAAAGAAAGAATTTCAACAGGCCAAGGAAACATCAATTCCCGAAGTCATGTCTATAGTCAAACAATGGGAAGAAGTTGCAACTGATAAACATTGGGTTTCACGATGCATGTCACTCTTCATGTCCCGAGAGGCTAGGGTGATGTTTTTGACGATGAAGGATGATAAAGAAAGCGTTTTGGAGTGGTTGAGATATGAATGTTACAAAAATGGTTGATTATTGGAGTTTTAAAACTTATTATGAGTATATGATCTTACTTAAAAAGTAATCTAACATGTTTGTATTATATTGTAGAATTTAACTTATGTAGCCTCTTGAACTACTTATGTACTTTTTATATATGGTAATTGAGTATTACAATGTTGTGGAAAAGTCATTGGTATTTCTATAGATGACTTATTTAGATGTATCTATAATTGAAATTAAGTGCACGTATTATTTATGTGTTTGGCTACAGATAGTAAGACATATGGAAGAGTCATCTAAAAAAAGGCTAAATAGAGCCCAAAAAGTTAGTGCTCTCATTGGGTTGTATGCAACAAGACATTTGTGCAAAGAGCCACGAAGAAATAGTGAATATACAGGTCATTTGTGGGTGAATGAAATTTCAGAAGGACACCCAGTTCGTTGCTATGAAATGTTTAGAATGGAACCACATGTGTTCCATCAATTATGTAGTGAATTGACACGACATGGATTGAAGGATACTAGGCGAATGAGAGTACAGGAGATGGTTGCAATTTTTTTAAATACAATTGGATATGGGTTGGAAAATAGGATGGCACAAGAAAGATTTCAACACTCAGGAGAGACTATTCATAGACATTTTTATAAAGTTTTAATGGCTTCCTCGAAACTTGCAATGGAATATATTAAACCACAAGACAAGTCCTTTCGTCATGTATCAAACAAAATAGAAAATGATAAGCGATATTGGCCATTCTTTAAAAATGCCATTGGAGCAATTGATGGCACACATATTCCATGTGTAGTCCCTGCAAGTGAAAAATCAAAATATATTGGAAGAAAAGGAATCCCTACGCAAAATGTAATGGCTGTGTGTGATTGGGACATGTGCTTTACTTTTGTCTTGGCTGGATGGGAGGGCACTGCACATGATGCTCGCATTTTTCAACATGCCCTGACAGCTCGATCCATGAACTTTCCACACCCGCCTTCAGGTATTTTTGTTTGTTCAATTTATTTGTGTTAGACTTTCCAGCTTACATGCATTGATAGTAATTTTTTTTACAAGGTAAATATTATTTGGTGGATGCTGGTTATCCAACACCAAATGGATATCTTGGTCCGTATAGACGGGAACGCTACCATCTTCCTGATTTTAGAAGATCAACTGGATTTGCAAATAATAACGAGGTCTTTAATTATTTTCATTCAAGTTTACGGTGCACAATAGAAAGAACATTTGGAGTTTGGAAGAAGAGGTTTGCAATTTTACGCAACATGCCTAGCTATGACTACGATATACAAGTTCAAATCATTGTTACATCAATGGCGATACATAATTTTATTAGAAGACACTCTAACTCTGACGCTGATTTTATGCATCATGAGATGGAAGATCAGGAAGACTATGAGGACCAAGAAGACCATGGCGTTGATGGATATTCATCCATGACATCTTCTTCATCAGCTATGACTAGTATTCGTGATATTATTAGGGACCAACTTGTATATTATCATCTTTATTAGTTGTTGTAAAATTACTGTTTTATATTTAAAAATTTAATTTTCTTGTCTTTTATTGAATTTATTTTAAGCAAGATATATTTAGTTATTTATTTACATAAATTTAAATGTTAATATTAATATAATTTAAATTTTTAATTAATTATATATGTAGTTTAAATAATATATTTTGCTTTTTAAATAAAATGTAACAACTTTAATACTATTACATACAAATCTATCATTAATTTAAATTTAAAAAACAATGTTCTTTATGGTAATTTAAACAGCTAAAATTGATTCTAAAAAAATTATCCAAACATCTTCAGTTCTGTTAAAATCAATTTTAGAAAAACAGCATCCAAACATATTACGTTCTAACATAATCAATTATGATTAAAATTTACCACTTAATCAATTATTTTCATAATCTATTATGCCCAACTGAAATCCAAACGGAGCCATAGGTGATTGACTGATTTCCTCGTAAAAATTGAGCAAGCAAGGTTGTATCCCTTCCTGGAAGTGGTTTCCGGTTTCTATACACGTGTCAATTTGATGGTCAAATCAAGAGGTTTAACAATCAAAGGTTAGTCTAAATTAACCTAAGGATAAAATTGATATACTTTTAATATTTTAATATTTTCAGGATAACATTAAGGATATCCAATGTTACTTTTAAAAAACTTTTGAAATAATTTTTTTTCCTTAACTCCATAGGGAAAAAAAAAAACAAAGAGAGAGGGAGAGAGAGCATTTCATGTGTGCCCTTACATCACTACTTTCCAGTTGAGCTCTTTGTCATCATCTTTACAAAAATGAGATAAGTAAAGCAAGGGTGTGTTTGAATTTCAATTAGATATAATTAATTATAAAAAAAATTAATTAATATAATTGATTTAAAATATAATTGATTATAAAAAAATTAATTAATATAATTGATTTAAAATATAATTGATTATTTTGTGTGGTATATAATTGATTAATAAGATTGATTTTAATCAAAATTGAAAATAAGGTAAAATCATGATTTTTTAAAATATATTCAAACACCCATATTACATGTTAAAATTAATTATAAATTCAAAATCATGTTTTCAAAAAATATTCAAACACTCATTATATATGCTAAAATAAATTATGAGCTAAAAACCATGATTTTTTTAAAAATATCCAAACACCCACATACATGCCAAAATTAATTATGAACTCAAAACTATGGTTATCTCATAATCAACTATTATCTGCTTTTCAATTCAATTTTTTAATTTTACATTTCTAAAAAATTATTCAAAAATCATATAAATTATTTTACAAATCATTTTTTTCATAATTGATTTTGATATTTGGATATTTTTAAGAAAATTATGGTTTTGAATTCATAATTAGTTTTGGCATATATAATGGGTGTTTGAATGTTTTTAAGAAAGTAATAGATTTTAGTTCATAAGTGATTTTAACATGTAATATGAATGTTTATATATATTTTTTTTACAAAATTATAGTTTTAGCTTTTAGAATTGATTATTTTGGTTACCCTTGCATTGCAGAGAGAGTTAAAATTGAACCAAACGGACCTTTAATAACATTACAATATACTCGTTAAATTTAACATTTGTTATTTTTTATTTCAATTATGCGTTATTTAATTCTCTTTCTATTTCTCTATTTTTCTGGTCCAAATATTTGTCTATATATGTAAAAAAAAAAAAACAAGAAGAAGAAGCTAAGTGTAGAAAAAAACAATGAGAACACAGTACAAAATATCCTTGACTTATTATTAAAAAAAGCTAGAAAGTAACAATATTACAAGAAAGAATGGCGGTTAATAGCTCCATTTAGATTTAAAAAAAAAAACTATTTTCATGGTTGAACCAAGTTAAACTATCACTGAGCCAAAAACTGAAAGGGTTTTTAGAAAACCAAATGGGTCAAAACATAATATAAAAAGGTTAAAAGTTTTTTGAGAAAAAATCATAAAATTTCAAAAATTAAACATACTAAAAGCTAATTTCATTTTTTTTACCCTTTACATATATATAATGAGTTGAAACTATATGTTGACAACTATGGATATAAGTACAAATATTTTTCAATCTATTTATATCTAATTTAAATAAAATTCACTTATATTTAATAAATTATAAAATTATAATTTATAATATAATTGATTTATGGTCATATTGTGTTATTTCTTTTGTTTAATTAACTAGACATGCAATCAATTTATTTCTTTCACGCGCGCACATTTAATATTATTATTTTTTAATTATTACACTGCCGATCTAATTGATTAGAAGATAAAAACCAAGACCTAATAATTTCACTGGTTTAGGTCTGGCTTTTAAAACGTTACTCGAGTCTGCAGATTGGTTCTGTTGCTTGTCCCTAGTCTCCTTATGTAAATCCAAAATAAATGTTAGATTTTAATACAAGAAAATAATCAATACCCGCAGAAAAGACACTTTTAAACTATGGGAAATGCTATTTTTGTGAAAAAAAAGGTTTCTACTCCACTCATCCCCATTTTATAAGATGTTTTTTGGGACTAATTTTACGTTTCACAACATAAGATATTTTGAGAAAAATGACGATTTATTAATGAATCTTATTTACATACAATTGCTTGTTTACTCAAACAGGGATGATCTTCGGGGAAGTCAACTTCCTTCTTGCAAGCTAGCGCTATTTTGTTGACTAGATATGCAATGAATTTATTTCACATATATATATATATATATATATATGTATGTATGTATATGTATATATTATATTTATATTTAATATTATTTTTATTTAATTTTCGTGTTTGATTGCTGGTTTAACCTAATAGAAAATTAAAAACAAGGCCTGATAACTTTATTGGTTTAATATTTAGTTTGGCTTTTAAAACATTACTCTTAATTCTTGAGGCTGGTTCTGTCATTTGCCCCTGCTCTCCTTACATAAATCCAAAATAAATTTTAGATCTCAATACAAGGAAATAGTTGATATCATCATAAAAGAAAATTTTAAACTATGGAAAATGCTATTTTTGTGGGGAAAAAAATAGATTTCTACTTCACTTATCTGTGTCATAAGATATTTTTTTGAAGTGATTTTATGTTTTACAATATAAGATACTTTAAGAAAAATAATAATAATGAATCATTAACAAATCTTACTTATGTGAAAAAAAACTTATATATTTAAAGTATTTGTTTTCAATTAAATCAAAACATGTGAATATTTTATAGATTATTTATTTTATAACAAACTCTTATTATTAATATTTATTTATTTATATATCAAAATTTATTTGTCTTAATTTAATTGGATAAAAATATACTAATCATACAAGGCTAAGTACCAAAGTTTCATCCATTTATACATACAATTGCTTGTTTATTCATGCAAGATTGATCTTCTTCAAGGAAGTCAAAACTTCCTTGCAAGCTAGCTTTTTGGCTGTCTTCTTATGGTCAGCTTCACAGGTTTCCTCATAAATTTTCCCGTTAACTAGAACCCTAACAGTGACATAAGTTAAGCCTTTGCTGGTGGACACCAATGGCTTCTCCATTATATAATGTCGTTTGCTGCAGAGTTCTTGCAATTCACGGACAGGATGAATCTGTAGAGTCTCAGGCGTGATCAAAGGTTCCAATAGGGGCATGATGCTTCTGAACACGGTCTCTTTGTTGAATCCAGAATCAACCATAATTGCTCCTGCCAGAGACTCTATAATGTCTCCAAGTACCTATTAAGAGTGAGAACAATGTTATCTAACTACAACAACAACAATAACAAATCTTATCCTATTATGTAGAGTTGGTTATATATTAAATGGTGCCATTTTGCTCTATCAACAACAATAACTTCTCCGAGTATTCTGTCTAGTATATAATTAACCAAGCCATTACAATAATAATGGAAAAATCAGGTTTTACTTCAAAAGAACATGAGTGATAAGTTTGAGAAGCATTAATAGTAATTTAATCTTCCGGTCCTTAGCTACCAACGTTATGAGTCCTGGGTCTAAGGTGTCCTTTATCAGAGGGGGGGAGGGAATAGGCGGGAAACTCATGTTCTTCATGATACACACATCCAAACAATAATCCCAAATAAGTTTAGAATAGAAACTAGCATTAAAATATGCAGAATTGCAAGAAATGTAGAGTTGAGATACCAGCAAAACAATTCTGCCCTACAAACAAGAGAAGCATTAGAACAGAGTGTTTCATCCCAATGTATGTTAGAAGTTTGACAAGTGTCATCATGAGCAAATTTACCAAAATAATATTTGAATACATGTACTAAAAGCACCACTATGGATTCAAAGAAAGGACATTGGCTGAAGATTGATGAACTGAACGGTTATGGCTAACCTTGGGGAAATATTTCCTTGTCTCCCATCCAAAAGTCGGTTCAGAAGATAACTTGTCAAAATCATTTATTGTGGAAACAATATCTCTATGTAATTCTTGAGAAGCATGGAGTATGTGTTTGTGTAAGTCAGCCTTAATGGCAGACCGAGCATAACAATCATTATTTACAGAAGCAGACCTCATGTCAGTCAACAACCCTGGAGACAAGTCAGGATATTTATTGTATAGATGCTCAGTGACGAGAAAATCTAACACAGCATCCCCAAGAAATTCTAGTCGCTGCACGAAAAATACATATATATTATTCAATAATGTTGAACAGCAAAGAAACAAAATTAAGAGCAAAACCATAGTGACTACTACTTCTGGAATACATCAGAACATCAAAAGATAGGCTGGTCCTAAGGAATGACCCTTAAGATTTCACCTTTCATTGATGACAAAAATAGGGATAATATAACTTTTAGTCCCTAAACTTTCATTCACTATCAATTTAGCCCCTAAACTTTGACTAGGTAGAATTCAGCTATTATAATTTACTTTCTCTTAACTAACAATTTAGTCCTTGAACTTTGATTGAGTACAACTGAATCCTTCTACCAAGTTATACCTATAATATGCTATAAAGCATGGTTTAAGGAATTACAAGAGCAGAGTTACTACGAGTCAAATTTTAAGGACTAAATCAATAATTAAAGAAAAGTTGAGGGACCAAAAGTTACATTTTCCTACATAGATACATACAAACTTTTTCTTTTCCTATGATAAATTAATAATAATGACCCTCTCCTATTTGTCGGAAGATCATGTTTGACTTGAATGTTTAAGTGCCTGTTTGGATAACATTTGGAATCAATTTTTGATGTCAAAACCATAGTTTTGTGAACATATATCCAAACACTCCTATTACATGTTAAAATTAATTATGAATCCAAAACCATGTTTTCCTAAAAATATCCAAGCACTTATTATACACGCTAAAATCAATTATGAATTCAAAACCATGGGTTTCTTAAAAATATCCAAACACATCTATACATGTCAAAATCAATTATGAACCAAAAAATATAATTTGCCAAATAATTTATATGATTTTTGCATAAACTTTTAGAAAAGTATAATTGAAAATGTGAATTCAAAAGCAGGTAATAGTAGCTGATGAAATAAGCATTTTGGGTTTATAATTGATTTTGACATATATGGAAATGTTTGAATATTTTTAAGAAAACCATGATTTTGAATTCATAATTGATTTTGGCAAGTATAAAGGATGTTTGGGTATTTTTTAGAAAATATAGTTTTGAATTTATAATTGATTTTAACATATAGTAGAGATGTTTGGATATATTTTTATAAAACCATGTTTTACTTTATTTTCAATTCTGCTTTCCAATTCTACTTTTCAATTCTAATTCAAATCAATTTTATAAATCAAATATAAACCTCAAAACATAATCAATTATATCCAAAATCAATCACATTAATCACTTTTTTTCATAATCAATTATACCCAATTGAAATTCAAACACACCCTAAGAGTCTCAAAGCTAATGATTTATAGCCTAACCAATTTTTAAGGTACCTGATAACATTTTGGAATTTCTGGCAGCATGTAAGAACCATGGGTCAGAGCTTCTACCAAGAGAGAACGGTCATTGAATGAGTAGTTCAATTTGGATTCCAGAAATCTGACATTTACAAGCTTCTCTGCGTGTATGCTCAAATGTGTTTTATTGGGTGATATTTTAAAATCCACCTTAATTCCAATCCAATCCATAAACTTAAAAGCATCTTTCTCTCCACCTGTGATGAGGCAAGCCCCAATTAAGGCTTCAACAACATCTGCAATGATCTTAGGTTTTATTTTTCTGTTCCCACTAACATAAATTTTAGTTGTATCGGACGCTAACTCCTCTTTTAAAGAAACATATTCAGAGCTATTGCCTGGTATAATCCATCTGTGTGGATCAAAAGGACTGTTACGAATGAAGCCCTGAAACACAGAGTGAAAATTATGAATAAAAAAGAAAAAGAACCGTTTCCAAAATACAGAAACCAGGTAATTTTCTTTTCCCCATTTTTTCATTGTCAATTCTGGTTTCGATTGAAATTCTGTCTCAGATCTTTAAGGCTTAAAAGACTATCAATGAGACAAAGCTTATTGGTCAAGCAATTACAGTTTCATGGCCATGCATGATTTCAGAAAATCAACAATTCAGGTGAGATTAGCGAACACACTTCAGCAAGAAATAGCTAACCAACGCAATTTGAACCACGATCTCACAGGATAAATGTGATAAGTTTTTTAAATAAAAATTAATCCAATGTAGAATAATGTGATTGTAACAATGTTATTTGAATTGTATACTTGATATCTAGAGCCAGATTATTAGTTTAGCTATGATTTATTAAAAAACCTAGGGTTTATTCTATCAAATATGATATCGTAAAGAAAATGGGATAAGGATTCTATTTTCTACTCTAAAATAATGATTCAGCTTTGAGTTTCTACTTCTAGTAGAATTGGATTAATTCAGTATTCTCGTTGACATTTATTTGATTTGACTTTTTTATGTTAATCCCTACTCAGGTTTTATCTCATCTTCAGTATTGAATAGAAACAGGCTAATAAAAAGCTAATCTGCCGAAACAGCTACGTACAAAGCAATCAACCATCAACCAAATATGTCAAAACTTCCAATTTATATCAGACTTCAATAACATCAGCAAATGAAATTCTGAACCACTTACTACTAATTTTTTTAACTACATTACAGTAAAAGTTATATTTTCCACTCGGTACCACTTTAAAAATTGGGTAGTCAATTATGTCAAGAAAAAAATATGTATGGACTAGCATAGAATTAAAAAATATGGAAATATTCACCACTATATGTGAAAAACAGTCGTGATCCTCTATATTCTTTGTGAAAGAATGCATTCAAAGAGAGATAGAGATAAAAAAATGTAGTATAAGTCCGAGACATGAACCACATGCACAGCCACATTCTCTTGTGCCATTTTCTCTGTGAATGCATGAATAGTAGTAAGGATCCAAAGGCATATGCAAAATGCTGATAGACAATTTTGAAAAGAATCAAAAAGGAAAAGACACGAGTTGAAAAATAAAGAATACCGGAAGTCTACTGCTGCACCCAAACTTCCGGAGGGCAGCATTAGAAATTATCCTGTCCTTTTTCACACTGAGAAGACCTTCATGGTAAGATGGATGGGTTTGATAAAGATACTGTCCAGCAGCATATTTAAGGAAAGAATCTCCAAGAGTCTCTAAGGATTCATAATGAAATGACTCTTGGCATTTTTTTGTAGTAATCGCTTCCAAGATCTACAATGCACAAAGCAAATGCTATCAGCACAAGTATCATTGAAAAGCTTGAAGACAAGGAAAATGATATTCCATAATTATGATATAATGAAATCATGAGGAAAAGGTGAAGTTTTCTATGGATATACATTACGTCGAGTCAAAACTTCTAAAATGATGATTTAGCAAATAAAATTATCAATGAAGCATCTTCAAGCAAATAAAATATATACCCATATGGGGAAGACCCAACACAAATCTAAGGATAGGAAACTAACAGAAAGAGTTCACTTCATATCAAATCTATGCATTAGTATTACAACAGCTTTTAGCAACTAATTAATCTGTGTGTATTGGTTGGGATATGGTAGGAAAAGGAGGCCAAAGCAATTCTTTTACCATGGTTATCTAGTGCCATAATTTTACATTAAAATAACTTCTCTATAGAAAATTAATCTAGACAAATATGTAGGTAGTTAATGAGCCTCAGCAAAAAGACATGAAATTTTCTTCCCTTGGAAAAACTGAAATATAGCAGTTGGAATTGTACATCATGAAAAACATTTTCACGGCAATAGAATGCAACTTACCTTGACTGTCGGAATATCATTTTGCATGCACAGTTTCTTCAAGTTGGAAGCCAAAAGCAATGACTCAAGCCGATGTATTATTGAGGGAATGAACGAGAATGAATATATGATACTGACGGATATTGGTGACATTATAATAGAGCATAGTTCAGGAGGCAATTCAACTGAAGCTTTGGTTGATTCTGAAAAATAATATGTACGCATATACAGTTAACATGTAAATCAGCTTCACACAGACAAATGATATTAACAATGGATGCAATTTTGGGTAGTCATGAACAAGCTTAATTTCTCTCCGCAAAAATGCTTTTATTATAAGGAAACGTTTTATGAAAAAGTTAAGAAGTTGACACTTCTAGAACAAGCTAAAAATAGTTTTTGTGCTTGTTTCATCACCCAAAAGTTTGTCTTCTTTTTGGAAACCTTTCTGCAGAACTAACTTTTATGGGTAAGTCCAAAAACAAGAATCAATATTCAAACCTCTCTCCTTCACTTGTCTGCTTCTGTGAAGGTAATTTTGCACATGAAACATGTGCCTTCCATTATACAGCTGTTGGTGTTCATAACGCAAATCAATTCCATGCCTGAAATTTAGAATAAGGGATAAGATTATAACAAAGTAAAAACAGCCAATGGGAGATATTAACTTAAAGAGGGACCTCTGCAACAAATAGCAGCATACTTTTCTTTATAGTATTTCTTGTACGTAGTAATTCTGCCATTGCTGAGTCTTAGCACAGAGTTTCCATTCAATTTCATTCTACCAGTGGTGATATAAAATTGACCATTATGAGGAGTACAGACCAAGGAATTTTCAAGTTTGCAGGAGCAGACCAGAGCATCCTTGGTCCTTACATTTGCACCGTGATTGTTGCAACCTTGTTGAGATGAAAATATGGAAGTAACAGAAGGCCAATCAACGATCAAAGGTCTCTGGTCTATGGCGGTGGCTGGAAGCATAAGATAATCAATCTCAAGATTATCTCCCCAATGGAGTTCATTTAAAATGGCTGTCAACTTATCAATATTATGGGCCAGAAGAATTCCAAATACAGTAATTTGGAATCTTCTACACAGAAGAACCTGGAAAAGGATATGATAACTACATTAACATTTGTGACATTTATTATTATGCTAGACACGAGAACAAAACATCATACCTCATTTAGGCCAAGATTAATTGTACCAATATATCTGAATTTTACCATCAAGTCACCCCTATCAACGCACATTTTAAATTCCATGCACCCAATTTCCGGGTCAAGTTCATATCTCATTGCAAGAACAAAATCACGAACAGCAACATCATAGTTGAATTCTTGGTTCAACTCTATTAAGTAGCAGTGGTATAACATGCTTCCATTGTGTGGAAGGCAGTTAACCAATTCAGGTGGGACATAATGAGGTTGCTCCTCATTGTAAGGTTCATTCACTGTAAGAATCAGATCTTAAACACTTAGGAAACACAAATATAAGGAAAACAAAATTCCATTTTCAATTAACACTTTTTCCTAGAATAAAAATGAAAAATAGGCATAAAATTACCAAATTCTTCCGCCAAATTTTTTTCAATGACAATATCAGGAACAAGATTATCTGTCAAAGCTCCATTTTTATGAAGTTGTATGCAGGCTTCAAGACAAGCCATATTCTTTAAGGTTTTCTTGGAGCCTTGCACACAAACAGATGATATAGGGCAACTCTTAGGAAGAAGTAGCGTCCCAGTTTCTTGGTCCCATCTAGGCATTGGTTTGAAGTACCTAGAAAGGGATGAAAATTCAAATGCAGGATTAGCCAAACCAAAGATTCAAATACTAAACTAAAAACAGCCCATAAAAATTATGGAAACACTAAAGTAGGGTAAAGGAAGAGAAGCAATTCACTAACCCATCTGCAGGGAGTCGAGAACAGTAAAGGTATATCAAACCAATACTAGAACTGAGATTCACAATCGCTCCAGTGCTTTCAACACAATAAGTTTCCTTGTTGTATAGATCACTATTGAAAGGCTCACAAGGAAGGGAAGAATGACGCAAGCACTCCTTTCTCATAATTTCTCCACTAGTCAGGTACTTCTCCAATCGAGAACGTGTAGCCAAATCCCCACTGTATTTTACAAATAAAACATAACATGGAAGCTATTCAGGGATATTTTGTCTCAACTAGAAAATAAAACCCAAATGGATGTTATTATAGTATCAGTAGAACATATTTATTTGCAATCGTCCAGTTGTTACAGCCCACAGAAATTTTTAAAACCCTGTTTGTCCAAACAGTCAAGAATACTCAAAATAAAGACAGAGAAAGAATTACCTTTCAACCATTAATATGTAATCAGAATTTTGAACTCTGGCTCGTCCTCGGGACTGAATGAAACTGCACACTGTGGCAGATGGGTCAAATCTAATGACCACGTTACAACTTTGAACATCTAACCCCTCTTCAAGAATTGATGTTGCCACAATGATATTGACCTGCAAATTAAATATTCTGTATAAAATTAAATATTGTACTTTGTTCTAATTATACAAATGATGACAATGTAACTAACATACTCATACCAAGCCCACACGAAACTCTTCTACAATTTCATTTTGTTTTTTCCTCGTTTGATTTTGCAGCCCCGAATTGTTTCCTGCTATGTACTTGGTCTTCCATCCGTTAACATTTGGGAGGAATTCTCTCAAAAAAGCATCTAGAGCAATTGCTGTAATTATCCTCTCCACAAAAATTATGCATCTCATATCATTCAAGTCCCTGTAAATTTGATATGCATAGCAGACCAGTCAAAATCAACATCAATGAAATTAGCAAATTGCTATATATAATTAGAGATAAAAAAAATATTGCCTTGAGATCAAGTACAAATCAACCAAAGACAAGGAAAAATATATCTATATATAAACATACAATAGCAAAATACTAAAGATGCGACTTTATTTTAAATGAAAGAACCAGCCACAGAGATATCCAAAGATCCTTGAAAAACCCTCACGTTTCAACAGGACATAGTCCAAAAGAAAATCCCAATGTCCAAACCTGAATATATGATAGTGAAACCGCATTCAAATTCAAAATATTTCATAAATAATCAATGAGGGAACCTGTATTCAAGAAGAGAGTCAGTAAGACACAGAACTTTCGAGGTTAATAGGCCCGCATCCATATTTGACCTAACATTACTACCAATAGTATGTCGAGGACCTGAGCAAGAAAACATTTATAAAAATTAGAAACGAGGAAAACGAAGTGAGTTGATGAATGTGCCTATTGTCTTCAAGGCTAAAGTTACTACCAGATAATATGCAAGTTGAAATCATTTCCAAAGCGTTCAAGGTAAATCTTCTAACAGTTGTCTGTCCAGAGACATCCATATTTTCATATGAAAAAAATTCAGCTTCATTGGATGATAAGAATGCTTCATTGTATGATAAGAATTCTGCAGCCTGTGGCATAAACAAACATATATTGAAGCCTTTCATACAACCATGAACAGCAAAATGAAATCAGCGGATAAGTATGAATAAGCACCTTCAAAGCTGACAAAGCTCCTAAGTCATCCAAACAAAATATTATAGCTGAGAAAACTTTTGTTATTCTTTTGCATATAGACTCTGCTGCAGAACTTGTCAACTCTGACTTTTCCACAAAGCACTCATACTAATGAAGAGAATATCAATAGTCAACAACCTCAGGGAAGTAAACCAACAATCATATAATCAAAATATGTATCACTAAAAGTTGAAAAACTGAACTTTGATAAAGTATTTGATATAAGAACATGACAGAATTGACATTGATTCAAACAAAACATGCTGCTCAGCATACCAGTTTTTGCTTTTTATAGCCAATTCCTTACCCATAATTTCAACCCAGAGGAATAAGTTAATTCTGTCAATGTCAAGTAAGAGAAAGAAAGCTAATTTCGTTAAAAGTTCTCACCTGTTTTTTTAGTAGATTCAGTTTATCTGCCAAGCATTTGAATAACTCAAATGGAATTCCAGTGTGCTTGTAAAATTTGAACTTTGGGGTAGATATTGGTACGAATTCAGAAAGGACAGATGCACTTGCACATGTATATACCTTCAATACACAATATTAATTATTCAAAATAATAAATAACTTAACAAAACAAAGTTGCACTTCAATATAAGAGTACTAGTCCCGGAAAAATAAACTCCTCTAAATACGTTGTCAAGTGTCAACATCTTTCTGGCAAAGTTTCCTGTACCATTAGACGAGTATACATACCCCCCCCCCCAAAAAAATATACATAAACCCTAGCAACAATTTTCTATTTTGGATTTTAATAACAATAAATCTATAGATGTCAATTTAAAGACATGATAAAAAGATGGATGTGATGAGAAAAGAATTTAATGTTAATGGGAAGAGACATGGCAGGAACAGAGGAGAGTAATTAGGGAAGTTAGAAAATAGGGGGCACAGGAAATTGGTCACAAGGCAACACATAGCAGGAGAGGGAAGTTCCAAGATGGAAGTCAGTTAAGAGTTCGTCTTCAAGTAGAAAATAAGGAAAAAGTGGAAAATAGAGGAAGCAAGGTTAAGGTATTTTTAGGCTAGATGGTTTGGGGGATATCTAGAAGCCTTGAACTAGAGCCTGACAATCTGTCTTGTCATTTGGTTGTTCAGTTTGTTTTACTGTTGCCTAAGGTCTTTGATATCTGTGTTGGAGTATATTGGAGACTTATCTCAATTTTCTCAGTAGTAGTTCAGTTTCTTTCATTCCAATATTGCCAGTATCCATCAGGATAACATATTACCCAGAACAAAATGACATGCATTGAAATTAGAAATTAAGAAAACAATTAAAAAATAAAAAATGGAGAAAAATAAAATAAAAACCTTAGAATCCATTAAGCTCTCAAGTTCAGCAATATTTTTCCAGAGAGTCAATTCAGAATTCCCACCTAATTCAAATATTAGGGACAAGGAAAAAGGAAATTTAACATTAGAAAGTATTGAGTAGGAAAATAATGTCAATGCAATGAGATGAATAAAATTTTCTTTGAGATTATGGACCTTTTGATTTAATCGGAGATGCTGTCATCCCAAATATTCTAGGAAGATCAGAACTTTTAGATTGCAGTTGAGGATGATAAAACTCCTGCATGAAATCAGATCTTCCTAGTGTAAGAAATATAAGCTTTGCACATGCCACAATCTCAAGTTGCTGAAAATGCATTATAAGATAGAAACTTTATTAAACAAAAAAAAAAACTGCGATTTTCATTGAAGGAAACAATTTTTATACAGTTTGACTACAACAAGCATTTAATGCTAAACATCATTGAGAACGATTTTTGAGTCCAATTAACTATGACATTCAATGTTCAAGCAATTGTTTTAAAGGCCAGCAAAATAGAAACCATTGGAGGAAGCACTTACAGTCATGATGCATGCATAAGGGTCTCTACCCTTAGCATGATGGCATTCATCCATTATTAAGACCTTTATCATATTCAGTTTAAAAAAGCTATGCCTCAGGCCAGCCAGCAATATTGCAGGAGTCATAACCAGTATCTGTAAAATCAAAACAACAACTGACAATAACTATCTGTCATCTATGTATTATGAAAAGACAGATCAGAAAACTTGTGCTAATAATAACTAACAATAAATGTGATGCTGAGAACAATTAATCCTCCAAATGGAGAAAATTCAAAATTCTTACTGTTTGAATATGGATTTTGCGCACAACAACATACACTTTGTGCCAGCTAAAATACCTTACATACAGAATGAAGTCAAAAAAATTATAAACACCCTCATGAAAGCTTCACTGAAATATGTAACATTATCTCCTTTTACTCCCAGGCAAATATTATGATTTTACTTTTAAAAATCCCACAATGATGTGGCATTATATGAACACCAAAAGAATTTTATTGTGTCTATAAATCAATATGGGATTTCTGAATAGATATTTACTCATTTACAACATTTAAGGGCTATTTTTATGATGTTTAGAAATCTTCTCAATGAATATTTTCAATTTTCTCAAGATCTTACATACAGAATGAAGTCGAAAAATTTATAAACACCCTTATAAAAACTTAACACTGAATATGTAATATTATCTGCTTTTATTCTCATGTGAATATTATGATTTTGCCTTTAAAATTCCCACAAAGATGTGGCATCATATAAACACCAAAAGAAATTTTATTGTGTCTAGAAAATAATCAGGGATTTGTAAACTGAGATTTACAACATTTAATGTTTAGAAACCTTCTCAATGTATATTTTCGATTTTCTCAAGATCTAATAAAAAATACAAGCACACACTTTATTTTTGCCAACACAAGCATTACCAAGCATGGATAATGGCATATAAAGGAGAAAAATTCTAGAGGTTATTAGATATTAAGGCATCCAGTAAAAAAACATGCAAACAATTAAAAACAGTAGGAATGATCAGGGCATGAGAATGGTCTGAAATTCAGGCAAGAAAAGGACTCCTGGACTTTGAAAGCACTGGACATGGTACAGTTTTACGGCCACTGACATAGGCTGCTAAAGGATCAGTTCACAGTGGACCACTCTAATATCTAATTATCTTGTATACAGCTGTGCAGCTACACAGTGGGATGGCCCCAATCATGCCAAATAAAAGAGCTGATTCCACAACTGGGAAAACCCAGGAAAGGGTGATTATGATCCCTCCAAAAATCAATACATTTAGTACTGTGTAATTTTATGTGAAGTACCAGCAGCAAGTTGTTAAGGGAGCTCTAAGTGATGATAACTAGAAAAGAGCTCTTCCTAGAAGAGTAACCATCAAGGGCCATATAATTGTTAATCCATGAAAACCAAATTTGAGAGAAGTGAAGAAGTTTAAATCCAACAAACCTATTGATAGTCGGACAGTGAGAATTGCTAAAGAAGAAGCCTTCTGCAACAAAAGAGGATATATGACAACCTCTTACTATCTTGCAGTTATCTTGAAGGGAGAATTATTTGCCATTACCACCCTATATCAAAATATTAGTTCACAAAGAACATGCTTCGAACCACTTTGGGCTTTTGTAAGAAAGCAATATAGTACAGATTTTTTGCCACTTGACATCGGTAAAATTAAATGATTACTTCCCATGCTGATACAACAAATGCAGATATAAATATATATACATATATAATTGGGAATAGGAAACAGCTAAAGGAGGGCAGGAGAATCTCGAGGGACGAAAGCAAATTATGCAAAGCACATATATATGGTCGACGATTTCACATGAAAATTTTAATTTGATATCTCTAAACAAATATGCAAAATAATCACCTCGTGTTTCTGTATTTCTTCTGCCCATTGTGCAGCATCCCAAAAGTCGACTCCCATATCTCCCCAATACATTCCAACTTTCAGATCTGTATGCATTTTCACAGCTTCAGCTTGCTGACATTTTAGAAAGGGAGGAAGAAGAAAAGCATAGTCAAAAAAGTGTTGATCATGATATAATTCTCCAATAAACAATAATGGATGTTTGTAGGTAATAATTCCAACAATGAGTCAATATTTTTTTATTCTATTTGAAATCAAAGAATGCCAATGCCGGAAGAAGAGAGAGAGAGAGAGAAAGATTTGCGTACCTGTTTAACCAAAACAACCTTAGGAACCAAAAAGAAGGCAACGAAAGGGGAAGGCTTGCGAAGAAGATATGCATAGCTTCGTAGAAGCATTATAGCTATCAAAGTTTTGCCTGAACCAGTCTCTAAGAACACGATGGTATTTTGGCGGATAGCTTTCTCCAAAGCTTCCAGCTGATAGCTACAGAAGATGACGAACCCAAAGAAAACAAAATATTAAACAAAAAAAAAATATAACAATATCAGTCTAGTTAATCCGATCAAGTGAAGAAAAGAGCCACGCTACCTTCTTGCAAATGAAAGAGGATCAGCGAAAGTTGGAGCATCTATTTCCATGGCTTCTCAATCTCTGCAATTGCCAATTGGTGACAGAGAATGCAAGTAAGAAATTTTGAAGCGAGAGAGAGAGAGAGAGCGAGCAAGTAAAGTGCAGGGCAGAGAGTTCAGAAGCAAAACTATATATAGTTAAACACTGCTACAGGCAAGTCACTCAAAACACTCCTTCCTCAGCAAGTAGCTTTTAGACTAAGGAGACCCCACAAGTGAAAGTGACGCGTTGCGGGAAATCGAATGTAAGCGAAACTGGCGAACGGCCTTCTCGGTAGAGGGTAGCTTCTCCTCTGCGTCCCCATTAAAAGAAGCTTCCTTTGCTTCCCCCATAAAAGTTAAAACAGAAGATTATTTTAACCATCCAGATTTTAAATATTTTTAATTTTTATTTAAAATTTATATTTTAAAATGAAGAATATATAAAAATTATAAAAATATTTTAATAAATATATTTATTAATCTGACAGTTCAAATTTAATATACATAATCTAAATTTAATATTAAAATTTTTTAATAAATTTACTATTCTATTTAAAATATATTTATACTTTATATAAAAAGTTAATTTAAATTTTTAATATTAAATTTAGATCATTCATATTAAATCTTAACTCTCAAATAAATAAATATATTTATTAAAAAATTATATAATTTTTTATTTTAAAAATATAAATTTAAGATAAAAACTAAAAATATTTAATCTATGCCAATTAAATCTGGATGATCCCTCGATGGCATGGTCGTCATTGCAAACAGGCCTCTCATTTTCGATACACTACACTGTACACTGTGCAAGTGCCCACACCTAGTGTCAGACTCTCTCTCTCTCTAATTAGAGGGTTCCTTCCTTTCTTTTGTAATTAAAATAAATTTATTTAATAAAGTAAAATTAACGGTGAGAATTGAAAAAGGAGGGAAAATGACATAAAATAAAGGAAGAAACCCCTTCCCCAACGGGAGGAGGGCGATAAAAAGTTAAATTTATCTAATTCTTACAAAAATGTAAATAAAAATTCTTTTTCCATGCAAATTTAAATAAAGAAAAATAGAATCAGCATTGTTGTATTGAGTTTTATTTTTAATCCTTTTAATTTTTTTAATATTTTCAATCTTCACAATTTTAAAAAGATTAGGTGACATTTGTTTTTTAAATTTTATAATTTCACTTTTTTAATATTTTTAGTTTTTATAAAAAGTGACTATAAGAAAAAAAAATTATAGAGATTAAAATTAAAACTTGATAAAATTATAGCAACTAACAATTATACTTTTCTTAGAGTGAATGACAATGAAAGAAAAGAAAGATATTAATAAAATCCAACGGATGATTAAACCGTTTGAGTATTTTCTTTTTTATAATAAGACAGAAACTAAGCTGTAATAAGGTCTTGTTGAAACAAAATAATTAAATTGAATGAGCGTTAATTCAATGGTTAATAATTAAAATAATAGTCTTGTCATTATTAGATCGATTATAACAACATATTTTATTAAAGTGGTTAAAAATACTTTTTTAATTATTTACTTATTTAATTGACTTACTTAACCTCGATTTCAATATTATAGTTTTATGAGAAAATTAGTGACAACAATAAAATTTTTTAAATAATAAATTTCAAATATCTATTTAAATTTAAATAATTATAAATTCCAAAATTTTAAATTACAAATAATACATTTAAATTTTAAATGTAACTTTAATTGTTATTTATATCATCTAAATCAATATTTATAATTTAATTTGCAGAAAATTTTGAAAATTTAATTGCCATTAATTTGATTTTTGGGACAATTACATTAAAGTCTCATACAAGAAAATTAATTATTTCAAGGTTCATTGACAACTAAACTAAATTACATAAATAATTGATTGTATTGTCAATACAGTTTAGTTCAATTGTCAATAAACCTTACAATAATTAATTTTTTTATATAAAACTTTAATGTAATTCTTTTTTAATTTTTTAATATTTTAAAGTAATTTTCCTACACCACGTTATTATGATCACTTGATAACCACCAAATGCTTGGTCACCTCGTGATTTAACTAGCGTTCTATTATTAAACAAAAAAAAAAAAAAGTATACCCTTCAATCTTTCGAATCAAATATTTGAATAATATATAAATATTTAATTTGAAATATAAAAAATTAATTTTTTCTTCTTTTATGAAATTAGAATGGGAATTGAAAGTGAAGTTGGAAGTAAAAATGGGTTTACAAATATAATTTTTAATTAATATATTCATTTATAATGTGAAAAGACTTAAATACCCTCGCCAAGAAAATGCCCACCCATCACCATAAATAGCCACGGCCACCGATACTGCTCCTGTATACCAAGCCGCCACCAGCCATGAACAAGATAATGAGAGCCGAGAGGAAGAAATTAATTGATATGCAAAGACAAATCGAAGGTAGAAATCAAAAACCCAAAAGTTGAACAAGATCAAAATATGCAGTCGAAATCAAACTCCACCATTCAAAATTGAAATCCAGCATTGGCCGTGTAATCGTACTCGACAAGAAGGTCACCTCGCTGGCAACTCCAACCCAGAAGTTGAACGAGATTCCAGTGATGGAGCCGCCCAATGTTGGCAATTTCAAAGACGAAATCAACTTGGGTTTGACTGCTACCTGGGTTTTCAAACTAGGAAGTGTTCTTTCGTACAATAGAGCAAACCCACCTGGTCCAAGAAGCTCCTTATCCTTGAAGCCTCTTGTCGCTTTCTCGAGCTCTTAGTAGGAATATCAATGGGGTTCGATTTCTAGCTCCTAAGCTTTTATTATGTCGTTCGTTTTAAAAAAAAAAAAAACTCCTGAACAAATAAACACCGATTAGTATCGCCGATAACGTAATCAATATAACCGGCCGTGGTTGGGAGTTGCCATTGCCGGCCAAGCACACTCACATCCTCCTTCGTGTCGTCGTCGGTGAGCATTATCAATGAGGTTGGGTTCATGGCAAGAGAGAGAATGAGGGTGAAGACGGTAAAATGAGAATGGAAGTCAGTTCTCTGAGTAGATTTGGAGTCCGTTTGGTTTTTTTAGAAAGTAAAATTTTATTTTTAAAAAATTAAAAGTTAGTGGATAGAATATTTTACAGAAAAGTATATGCTGAAAGTACATTCATATCTAGCTGAAAGTGAATTTCTGAAATATAATTATTTAAAACTTTTAAAAAGTAAATTTAAAAAGTAAAATGTTATTTGATCATCCTATCCTAAGTTTAATCTCTTATTCTTTTATTTAAAAAATAGTTAATTCATTAAAAATATAATTATTATTTTAATAATAATAATTAGGTATTAATTTTTTTGGTATTATAAATTGAGTAATTAATCATGTTAATTTTTAACATTAATATATAATAAAAATTACAAGTCTTTATTACATCTTTTAAAATTACAAATTAAAAAATACAAATAATTAGAGATCAAATTTTTAGTATTATAGGTCAAAATTTATATTATTTAAACTAGAGATCAAATTTTTAGTATTATAGGTCAAAATTTATGTTATTTAAAATCTTTATTATATTTTTTAAATATTTTAAATATATTATATTTGTATAATAAAAATTATAAATCATTATAAATCAATGTTTTTTTTGATAATTGTACATTTAAAAGCACATTTCACTATCACAAACCAAACAACTTTCAATGTATCAAACTGACTTTTGAAAAAATATATCCAAACACAAATTTCGTTACAATAACTGACTTTTACTCAACTGATTTTTATCAAATAAATTTTTACTAAATGAACTTTTGCCAAACTGAAAATCAAACGCTCACTTGATGGATTTGGGTTCCCTCAAGAACTGGGTTCTTACATACTAAACCTGAAAAAAAAAAAAATTTCACTTTCATATTCACTTCCCTCTCCCCAATTCTATAGTATCAAAGAAGGCATAACTATCAGCTTTTAAGGCGAATTCTTTTTCATTAGATATCTTTTGACTTCATATTTTCCTTTTTGCTTTTTTCTTTTTCACTTTTAATTTAAAAACAACAAATGATTGATCTTCCCAAGATAATTATTCTTTCTCCATTTATTTTCTCTTTAATCAATGTATTACATTTTATCTTTCTTAATGATTATCTTATTAGTCCGTGAGGATTAATGGCAATAACGGTTGAATCTCATATTTTAATGCTAGGTTCTTTTCTTTATCTTCCAATGTATTGGAATAAGTTTTCAAATCCCCACGTTGCAACTAATTGTTAAATATTATCTCTCAAGATCGGTTTCTTTTCTTTCTCTTCCAATGCATTGGAGTAAGTTTGCAAATCCCCCATGTTGCAATTAGAATGTTTCACAATACAATCCTTTTTTTTTTTTCAAATTTTAAATTAAAATAAATAAGCAAATTAACTCTTAAACTTTAAATATAACAACATCATAGATCTTGAAATCCTTTATTGTGCAAACTAGTCCTTTGACTTTTGAAAATAGTGTAATTTAATCCTTATCATTAATAAAAATTAATTTTAATTGCTAATTAGTCAAAAAATGACATCAACAGATATAGAAAAAGGATCAAAAATTTTTTGAGTCTTTTATTGTAATTTTTTATTTTTTTATCAATTAATAATTAAAGTTAACTTTTATTAAAGACAGGTTATGTTGCACTATTTTAAAAAGTCAAAAGAATAATTTGTGTAATAATTAAGTTTACGGTTTATTATGTTATTAAATTTAAAATTTAGGAAGTAATTTGTTTATTTATCCTTTAAATTATAGCCCTTATTTTCTATACATACATACACATGTATCTATGCGTAATGCCGTGATGGATTTAATTTGTGGTGAGATGTTTTTGATTTAGTAGGGATTCTTATTCTTATAATTTTGCCATATCTTCATGGTGTACCTTAGTAATGTGTAAAGAGCACCATTTAATATGTGAATTGACTGATGGTTACGTAATTACCTTCACGTCATTATTGTACTTATAGTTTTGCCATATTCTTATATCTTATAGTTTTATTAATAATGTGCAAATAGTATGATTTATTATAACTTTTTTACATATATGATTACTTTTTGTATAAATTTTTTCATCTTCTTTTTTGCCAACAAAAGTTTTTATTTTCAAT